AATTGAACTTACAATGTAAAGAGAGATCGGAACACAAGAAACGTACATTTCCAAAAATTTCAGATACAAAGAAACTTCGTATCAATGGATTTGCTCTCTAACCGGTTTGTCTTGTTTTGGTTTAGCTGAGAGTTTGATAGCCTAACGGTCCTTGTAAACCGTCTTGATCTGGTCCGTTCCTTCTAGCTAAAGATGGCATCCATGGGAACAGCTTGCTTAGCTCATTTCCTAATGTCCTTGGCCTCACTTCCTTATCATTGATCCCGAATTTCGCCCTCTCTATCGCTTCCATTATATCTTCCCGTGCCACCGCTTCTCCTCCTGAAAACAATCAAGAAAGCGCTAATGTGGGTTAAGCCAAAAACCACAGCTTCTTCTTCTTTCCATCCCAAAAGGTCAAACCCGGGAAGCAACCAGATCGAATATCTACTTAAATCAAGCAAGGGCTGATAAGGTCACTTAAAGACTGACCTCTTCGAGCAGCTAGCAATGCAGCTTCATTGACAATGTTGGCGAGATCAGCACCTACGAATCCGGGAGTTAAAGAAGCAACCAGATCACATATGAGAAATGCATCTTCTTCTAGAGGGACGTCTCTCAAATGTACGGCCAAGATTTTCCGACGGCCTTCTTGGTCTGGTTCTGCAACCACAACTTTTCTAGAGAACCTTCCAGGCCGACAAAGAGCTGAGTCTAACGCTTCTGGTCGGTTAGTTGCTGCAATTACAATAACTTTCGTGTCTGACTCGAATCCATCCATCTCAGTAAGCAACTACAAAGGAAGCATATCAGCAATGGCGTCTACATGGTTAAAAGGTTTCTTCTAAATGTTGATTTTTTACCTGGTTTAGCGTCTGGTCACGTTCATCATTGAAACTCCTACCACGTTTTCCTCCAACCGCATCAAGCTCATCAATGAATATAATGGAAGGTGAGTTTTTCCTGGCTGCATTGAAAAGATCTCTGATTCGCGCTGCGCCTCTTCCAACAAACAATTCAACGAACTCACTAGCGGAGACAGAGAAAAATGGAACTCCCGCTTCTCCAGCTACAGCCCGAGCCAACAAGGTTTTACCGGTCCCTGGTGGACCGACCAAAAGCACACCTCTCGGTAATCTTGCTCCTAGTTTTTTGTAGTTTATACTTCCTTGAAGACATGAGACTATCTACAAAGAAAAACAGAACACATGGAGGTTGGACTTCAAACTTAATTCTATAAACGTTGCATTTACGTATCGTTTTACCTCCACGAGCTCGTCTTTAGCAGAATCAACACCCTCAACATCATCGAAGCCAACAGTGGGATTTTTAGACCGTCGTTTCTTCGCAGGGCTGTTAGATGCTGAGAGTTGCCGATAAAGAAGCCACATAAGAGGTGTCAAAGGAATCCACAGAGAGATGATTGTTATCAAAGTAGTTCTCATTGACATCAATGCAGATTGAGGAGCCGAACTATAAGTAATGCCTTTCTCTCTCATTAAGCTAAGAAGAAACTTCTCATCATGATCGACTTTTCTTGTCACATACTTCCACACAGGAGTCAAAGCTCGAACCTTTCGCGGAGTACCGTCTTTCGTAACAGCTTCCCTCACTGTGCCGCCATCAATTTGGATTGCCGGATCTTCTAAAGTTTCAGACTTGTGAACATCATCAACAACCTCAACATTCTCATCAGTGTTGTAATAGATTCGACGAGAGCCTTCTTCGAGCAAAACCTTTGAAACAGAACCACCTCGAAGATTCGTTACGAAATCTGAATAAGGAACAATGGATGGGGACGGAACAGCAGTTAACCTCAAGAACAAATAACACAGTCCAAAGATTAAAGCCACACCGGTGGACAAGATCACTCTTTTGATATTCCTTTTCAAAAAATATCGAAAATCTTCCATTGATGCTCTGAAATCAAATCTCCCAAGTCTCATTCTCACTAATCGTAATCTAGGTCGAAGCCTAAGAGAAAACCTTCTTCTCTTCCCTTTGTTTCTACCATTTTCACCAATACGAGTCTCTTTATCTCCGTAATCACCACTCACAAGTCGCTTAATCTCGCTATTACAAACAAACCCATTTCTAACCCCTAATCTGGTATCACCAAATTCCAGAAACCCACCAAGTCTCCTGCAACTAAACGATTGATTCCTCCTGGTTCTAGCTACACAAACATTAAGCTCACAACTCCTCGAAGACAACTTTCTAATAGATTTATCCGGAGAATAACCACCTTTGAATAGAAACCGATTGCTACAAAGAACATTGAAAGTAGCCATGGATTCTCTTTCCTGGAATCCGAATCATGCGTCGATCATTCTTGTGCAAAAACGAAAAAAAGAAGGCGAAATTCTAAGAAAACCAACCAAGCGCAAGAGTAGACGAACGTGTCATGCTCGTGAAGAAGATTGGAATTGGAGAAAAGCTTTCGTCTTGAAGCTGATGACTCTGTTAAATTGAAAGGAGGATAAGAAGAGTTCGCAAAGCTCTTTTTTTTTTGGTTGACAAATAAAAAATAAAACACAGAACAGATGAATATTGAGTTTGATCTTTACAGTTTTGTTTCTTTAACTGTATGAAGAAGCATTGGGCATTATAAATCGAGTCATGGGCCTTTTAGTTATTGGGTTGTCTTTCATTTTGGGCTTATAATAAAAAATAGTTAAATGAATTTTTTGAACAGTATAACTAATTTTACGCCTATATATCTTCTTCTTCTTCTTCTTCTTCTTCTTCTTCTTCTTCTTCTTCTTCTTCTTCTTCTTCTTCTTCTTCTTCTTCTGTTTATAGGTTTTGCCAAGAAGACCGGAGATGTGTCGGAATTGTAGATCGGTGTCAAGGTAACTTTTTTAATTTCCGATCAGAAAACGAGCGATCTAGTGTAATGTTTCTAGCTATGAAATTGATTTCTTCATTGTTGTTTTTGGAATTTGAATTTGGATCTGGTTTTGAATGTGTTTGTGAAAGGTGATACGATTAAGGTGCACTATAGGGTAAGCTTGGCTAGATCTTATAACAAAATTGGATTCATTATTGGTATGAAGAAATGTTTGGTGTTGCTTTTTGTTGTGTAACTTAGTGTTATGTGGCAGGGGAAACTTACTGATGGAACTGTATTCGATTCGAGTTTTGAAAGGGCTAATCCGTTTGAATTTAAATTAGGAAGTGGTCAGGTTATCAATGGGAAAACGGCCATTTTCAACCCCAACTATTTGGGGGCGGGTTTTTCCAACCCAAACTAAAACCCCCCGTCAATTTCTATCCAAACTCAAAACTAATTCAAATTCAAAACCTAAACTAATGAAAATTAGCCGATTTCAACACGACAGAAGACGGTGTTAGCTCGGGATTTAACGGCTGCTGAGTCAGCGATATCGTGGCATTGACGTGGCGGAAAAACGGCCATTTTCAACCCCAACTATTTGGGGGCGGGTTTTTCCAACCCAAACTAAGACCCCCCGTCAATTTCTACCCAAACTCAAAACTAATTTAAATTCAAAACCCAAGCCGCTGCTATATTCATGTAATCTTGTAGTTGGGTCGTGAGAGAAAAACTATTTATATATCGAAGGTGATCTATCATTCGATAGTCCGACTGTGTATTACTTACCATGTGATGGATCTTGGGGTTGTATGATTTCTAAAACAATATGGTATTGTCTCCATTTGTGTCGAGTTGAAATTTTAATGAATGGCAGTGTGGTACCATAGCTTTAGAGTTCATGAATTGTTATGCGGATTGAAATTTTTGTGAATTGTAGTGATGATGATTCAGGTCACGAGACTATAAACACAATTGATTTCAGACAAGTTTCCAGATAGAATGTCTCTACAATGATTCCACTGCAGGAAGAAAGACAAAATCTTTAGACGGACATGTGGAAGTCGGATTCGCACACTCAAGTATTTTTATTAAGTAGGAAAGATTACTCTTGAGGGACAAAAATGAATATGTAAAAAGCTTATGAATTGCTACAAAAATTGCTATAGTATTTCTTATTCGAGAGAGAGATCCCTTTTACATGGCCATTCGCCCTTATATTTATACATAGAAAAATGTCAATTAAATGGCTAATTAAGTACAATTATTCCCTCTTAAATGCGTCCGTTTTGATCTTTGACTTTAATGCTTAACGCTTGAATTTGAGTTGATTCCGATCTTCATGGGCTTCACCAATCGGCCCAAACATCCTTAGACCAACTTAACTGTGACTTCGACTCCGGACTTATGTCGAGGTGCAGTCACTTCGGACTCTCCTTGTGGTGATAACCACTTCGACTGTTCCTCCGACTCACGGGTCTAATGGGCTTTATCCTTCGTGGGCCGTTACCTTGATTACGTGGCAATCTTTGGTTGGTCCCGGACTATTGGTGCGGGATCCGACACCAACAGAACACAATTGCTAGACCAAACTATTCAG